GGAAAAGCGGAAGAAAACAAGCATCATCTTTGCTAGGCAGAATGCAGCTTTTCAACAGCAGCCTGGCATCAGTCACTCCAGTGTCCCGTTAGTCTCCGTTATTTATTTATTTTTCATCATTTGATACAAGAGATAAAAAGAAATCAGTAGAATGGAAAGTTGCCAGGGGATAAATGTCTCCTGTTCCGAAACTTAAATGTCAAGGTGAAGGTTAAGCATTTAGTTTGGTCTTGGCATTTATCAAGCAGTTGGAGACTGCTATCCTCCAACACTATCCTGTATGATATTATCACCTAATTAAAAACTGATACCAAAGTGCTGCTTAACATAAGCTCCAAGTCTCCTTCCCTGTAGAAAAACTAGAGCCATTTACAATTCATTAGGACCCCATTACTGAAACTGCAGATGTTGTACAGTCCCCTGTTAAAGGGTTCATGTTGGTTAACATTTTCCATTTGCTCCTCAATCTGCCAATACAATATTTTGAACACAGGAAGTTCAAATTAACTGCAGTGCACAGAGGACAGCAGGGTTCAGAAAAGGCTCCACTAGCTAGTGATTGCTGGCTGGTGTAGTTAGACTTCTACACTGCAAATGTGACAAAGTAGTTTTCTTTTTTTTCCCCAAAAGGCTACTTTAGATTCAGAGGCGCCTCGAGAGAGCAGCACAAATGATGTTCTTTGAAGAAAGTTATTTCAGATTTCTTAATGCACAGATGTAAGTGCTTCCAATTAGAAATCTGCATCGTCTTAACAGAAGGATCATAACGCGCTATTTAAAACATCACAGACTGTTCTCAGCAAGAATGGCTGCTTTGTCACCCTGAAAATGGGTATTTTACTATAAATAAGTGAAGACTGGTACTTCAAAGCTGCATTATCCTTCACAATGCTGTTTGTTCTCCATTATACAATGTCTTTTGAAAACGTGACCTAGGATTCAATAACAGCCAAGCTAGTTGCACCCCTTAAGTAAATAAAAGGAGGGTTAGAATGAAAATACATTGTACAAGTTGCATCAAAACCTACAAATATTAGTAACAAAAATATTCAGAATCAGGTAGTCACTGTACAATCAACAGGTCATGGTTTAGGTGCAATGAAAGAAAGCATTCACTTAACATTCGGTATTGAAGCCACTTGAAATATGATGGATTTAAGGGGAAAAAGGAGACACCTGCCCACCCTTTAGGTCAAAGCAGTTAGATGTGAACAAAGGCACGTCCTATTCCTCCATTTGCATTCAGCGAGACTTCACGTAAATTGTCAAACTAGATAACCGAGCCAGTAAAAAATAGCTTAGTACATTCTAGGGGCTCTATAAAACACAGGGATATAGCAGTCTTACCTAATATTATCATCTCTTGCCATTGTGAAGGTCTTTGTTAGTATGGGGCACATACATTTGTTAGCAGGACATCTAACCAAGAATTCCAGTAGCAACAGTAGTTGTAACAATGGGAGCATTAAGCAAAAGCTACCCACAGGCATTTTAACTAGTGTCTCCCAAGTATGCTCTGAAGAGCATGGGGCACAGGGGCAAGAACATGGAGGGAAGACCTACAGTCCTGTACCCATGATTGGAACATCACTTGTTTAGACCAGACTTGGATGTTTCTAGGGTTAAGGCTTACACATTTAAGACAACCTACCTACCAGATTGGAAGTGGCTACATGCGATTCCAACCCAATCAGGTGTTAATGATGAGAGTGTTTTTTGTTCCTGAATAAGTGGACAGTACTATGTAATTTGGGAGGGAGGGAGAAAGAGTATTGTTATTAGATAATCTCATCAAATAATTCAGATAAGCATTTTGGTGTCTATTTTCAAATAAAAAAAAATCCTTAGCTGCTTAGGAGAACAGTTTTTACTGACTTCTAGTAAGATTTGGCCTCTAAATCCCTTAAACAGTTTTGAAAACTTCTCCTTATCCAGCACCAAGACATTTCTCAGTAGTTTTGAAAACAACATCCAAAACACTTCCAAAAGCACGCCTCATCTTTGTGACATATTAGCTCGGTTTACAAGTTACAAGATGAACCTTCTAATTGCCAACCTTGAAAATTCACTGTAGGATTTGGGGATCTGCCTCTTACCTACCACATGATTCACCATTTTGAGCTTAACTGACAACTGCATTTCAGAAACCTTGGTGTACAGAATCTACCTCGCTTTCTTTTAAAGGCACTAGCTCTAAAACCCAGTAGGCTAATAAGAACAAGAACCCAGGGATCGACATGCAGATTTGACTTAAAGAAACTCAGGGAATAGGTATATTAAGGTAATAGAATTCTTCTGAGAATAATTGCGTGTTAACACAGCCTTGCAAAACGGTCTTTAGCATTCATTAGGCCAGTCCAACCTTTTCTCCAACACGCACAGTGGTAATTTGAACTGATTAGTCGCTTCTCAAAAAAAAAAAAAAAGGGGGGGGGAGAGGGGAGAGGGCTGTGTGAAAATATTTTTTACAAAGGGAGCTTCTATAGTATAAAAGTAAATCGATGTTAGAAGTACAAAAGCAAACTGCATCTACTCTGTGCAGCAAAGAAAAAAAATCCTATACCCACGACGATAGCCTCTATTGGGAACTGTTTTAAAGAGCTTATAACACTTGCAATATACCATAAATACAATCAACAAGATTATTACTTCTCCAGAAAAAAGGGAATTAACCATCTTGGGTCCCCTGACTTACAGAATCACACTTCAGAAATTATAAAATACAGGGGTGGGGCAGAGAAATTACTTTAAGTAACCAGCTTGACAATTCAAAAACCTCCAAAGCGTTAGTCCGAACAAGTCTCTGCATTATTTTTTCACTGCTGTGATTATCAAAACCAGCTGGTAAACAGACTTCATGGAAAGTGGGTTATTTGTAATTAGTGTTTAAAGAGTCCTTTCATAAAAAGGCAGGTGCATTACAGTGACAACACTTGTTCCTGAATGCAAGGAGAATTAAAGAGATCCATTTCCACACGCAGGAGGCTCGACTAGGCAACAAGCACAGGGATTCTGTAGTGACTACTGCCTTTCTCCGAAATACCTACCATCTTGTTTTTAAAACAAGAAATCTGAGGGCACTCCCTGCCATTCTTTTCAAACGTGGCCTACCAAAACCCCTCTCCAGCCCAGTGCAAACTACAGTAAAGTTGCATAGTAAATGCTAAAACAGACTTTGCAGGAAAATAATCCCACCAAGTTTTGCTTTTAAAATTTGCAAATGATTTAGCAGTGATGAAAGAAATGCCAACCTGACAGTCCTGAGGACCACAGAAATTCAGATACAGTACGGGCAGTCACATACCGCACTTCCCCATTGCCCACCCCTACTCCTTCACAGCCAATATAAAAAGATCACTGTTAGAGGGTAAAAGAAGCCATTTATGGCCAATTGTGATGGAGGCATTTATAACACAGAACCCTAGCTACTGGGAACTAAACTGAGACCCATGAACCAGGCTGCCTATTTAGTGGATCTGAATTGGTGGCCCAGAGCTGGGAGTCTAACAGATTTAAAGAAAAAAGAAAAAAAGGTTAACGACTTTACTAACCCAACTTGTGACTGCTCAACAGGCCCCGTTGAAGGTGTTGTTGAACAGCTGCTCTCTTGTAGGTAGGCTCAACTTGTTACCCAAACTGATGAAGTCTCCCCATCAGAAATTGATACATTTCATTTTCAAATTAATAGTTAAAACAATTAGCTGTCTTCCTCAATGTGCATCTTGAATGCATCTAGGGAAATAAAATCATACTAGACACTATCTTGAATGTGCTATAATTTTAAAAACAGTCATGTACTATTTAATGAACTTGTAAGAAAAATAAATCTTTACATGATTACAGTACTCAAAATCTCTTGTCTAACCAGACTGTTCTCGATTGGGCTTTGTCTTTAGAAAGAACACTAAATGTGCTGAATAGGTTGGGTTTTAAAGGGTCTCATTACATTTGGATACTAATTTAGTCTCACAACCTCATTTATTCTCTGCATTCTCACTCTGAAGTCAATGTAAACCCTCTCATATTTTATAAAACCTGTGAAATAAATCTTACTTTTCCCTTTGAGGTAAGTGTCAGTCACTCTGAGCAGTTACAAAGGGCCAAATCCTAAAACATGCAAGTTACTTGAATAAGGATCTTTCAATCTGGCAAAACTTGCCACTCAAAAGACCCTGTGCAGGCCAGGTGGCTAGCAGTCAGTGTACCTGAACTAGTGCTTACCCTAGGGCAGACAGGGGTTTGCCCCTTACGAGAGGCTGCCCAAGCTGGTACAAGTTCCAGTATGCTCTTTTCTGTGCTTAGTTAGCACCAGTGAAACTACATCACCGAGCACAGTGATTTACTCCCACTGTTGACATACTAACCGCAAGTTCTCCAGTTCATTTGATAGCTTGCCCTATGTGATTAAGTTAAGATGATGTGAGAAAGGATTAATTTAACTCCATAACTCATAGTCTTTAGTGGAAGAATCAAAAGGAACTGGACGTGTAGAGGGGCTGAAGTCCATCACTGCGTAAGTTAGTGGTCTATGCTTATAAGGTCCTCTCCTTTGCAATGTGCAAAGACTCTGCATTTTTCCCTGAAAAATGAACAGGGAAAAAATTCTCAGCATAGGAAGGTCAGCCTAGGTAAAATACTATCAACCAGCATCCCAGGGCGCACACGAAAAAACAAGTCTAGACAGGTGACAATTTTTCCTGTCTGCCAAACAAATAACTGACCAGCACTGAAACAACCCTGAATACAGGGCACGTGGCTAATTGTGCATAGCATACAATCAAACCTGCAGCGCTCGAGGGGGCCCTCCAACAACAGGACTGAGGCAAGTGGCCAGCAAAGCTTAAGAAAAGTTAAGCCCTTAAGCTTTCACCCAGTCCTGAGCATAATCATCTCTCACTGGATAATCACATCTACACCCTTACAAACTCTTTGCTCACACAGATATCATGTTAACTCAGTAAAAGAAGAAGCCACATTCTGGAGTACACGGTTGAAATCTTTTCCCTTTCAAATATGTTGAAAAACAGCTATTTGACTCACCAACATTTTCTGATCAGGAATTCTGATCAGGAGTTCCACCAATTCTCAGCTACAGACATTGTTTAAAATTCAGTAAAAGGAGTCTTCCCTTAGGCTGAGCCCTTTGGTCCTGTTTCACCCTATAGCACCCAAGCTTCAGTGGCTAGTCTCATTCCCCCACTCCCATTTCCTTGCCTTAGAGGGAAATTAGAATAGAAACACAGGTACTACCCCTTGCGTGCCAACCTTATTGAGCACTAGGAAGCTCCCTTTGGTCTGCACTTCACCATTAGCCAGTGAGGAGTATTAAAGTTTGCCTCAATCACCCTGTCCTCCCCCCGCACAACTTAAGAAACACATCCTAACACTGATGTAGCTAAGAGGAAAGAGGCAGCAACTAATTCTGGAGCGATTCCCTAAATTCCCATGATCTGTATATTCAGGGTTCGTCTACACATATTCCAGGCCAACAGGAGGTTGATCCCACCTTAAGGCTCCCTTTCTTGTAAACTTTACCACACCCATTCCCACCCCCCATATCACATCATTTCATGTTTATTTTACTGAGTTCTCCAGGTTCCTCCCTTTTTCTACAAAGGGATCATTTGCTAGCTTGACTCTAGCTTTCCCTTAAAATCCTGGCTTATAGTGAGACAGGACAAGGAGTTTAAGGCTCAAAAGTGATCTTAATACAGAAACATTCTGCATATAGCCCTGGGAGTCCAACTGCTTGCTTCACAAGAAGATAATGAGGTCTGGAGAGCGTAGTGTCTGCAAAAGGAGCTAGTGTTCAACTCCCCCCACCTCCAGTCTCTTTCCTATCCTACATATTCATGGTACAGAACTGTAACAGAAGGCTCTGGGAAAAGAAAAGTTTGCAAACAGAATCACCACCTTGAGGAAAAATTTGTAGCTTCTCACAAAAAGGTGACTGGTAGCTGCCAGAAGAGACAGGGTCCGGGGAGCCCATCCCTTGCGCAACACAGTGAATGTTGCTCTGTTTACACTGTGTGGTACGCAACGGACACATCAGTGACTCTTGAATCCTCTGGCCTTCAGTGTTGCTTTGAATCTGTGTGCAAAGATGCTAAGTTGCTTCTCAACCAGCGAGTCCAACAGTCCACCCCCTGCTTCTCAGCCAAACTTCTCACGCAAAAACATCCAGTCTTTATGCTCTACAAACAAGCACACAAAGCAAACCCTTTCTCTTCAGCCGATATCCTAGTGGCCAAGCTGCCGGTCATCATAGGTGCTGTATCTCTTGACGTGTATGCGACGGACTCGGTCTCGCAGTTCAAAGCCCTCGTCGTCCTCGCTATGAGAGGCTTGGCTTCGGCTCCGGCTCGTTGCCTCCAACAGCGAGTTATCAGGAACTCGTGGAGTTTCAAAAAGCAAGACATTTAGTGTCTCCTCATAGATACGTGCTTCAGGGAACTCAACCTAAGGGAGAGAATCCACATATTTCTTGAACCAGGTGGAATAGTATGGAGGGCGCCTCTATACTGTTGTCTTAGCCTTCATTTGAAAATCTGGTCCTATTCCCCTGGGTAAAGACTATTCTTAATACCTTCTACTAGTACTTTCACCAGCCTAAACTTGGATGTCCTTACCACCCGATCATCTGTCTCTGAGTTTACAAAGTTATTCCAAAGTCTAACACATTTCTCTGTTGGGAAATTTCATTTCTGAAACTGAAGTGCAACATATGAGCTTCTTTCTGCTCACACCCATGTAAACCAATAGTTACGACAGGGGTCAGGAGACTTGCTCTGGATTTTTAACATTATAATCAATAGTGGATCACCAGATTTTAATTTAGTTAAATTTCATCCTACTAGTTTCAGTTATTCAGGCCATAGCAGAAGCACTCATGACACAGCCCTGTCAGATTACCTTGTCACAAGGACACAAAAAGGAAAGGAAGTTATTCTGATGTGTTTTACTCCGAACAATTGTTCTCCCTTTTTGATGCATCTTTTCAGTCTTTGGAGAGCATTATGCTTTTCCACCAGTTGCATCTGTTTAGTCAAACTGGCACGGTTAGGGGTCTGATTTTGCTCCAGTTAAACCAAGAGAAGTCTACCATTACTCTATGGTCACATACACAGATGCAACTAGAAACTGAATTAATGCCTTATTTTAAGGCAGGGAGAGTTTCAAACACACTTGTGATTTAGGAGCACAAAAGTTCTATTAACTTTCAATGGAGCCTATGCTCATAAGTCATTCAGGTATTTTGAATTTTCTACCCTCAGTTCTTTCTCCTACATTACTCCCAGCTTCCTAACCACACTTTGCTCATTTCTGAACTCCATTCAAGTATCAACATCTTTTGGTTGCAAAAAGACCCAGAAAAGGAGGCATTTAGTTAGCCATTGAGTTGCTCTCCACCACTGACCGTCAATGCCATCACCCATCCCCTCAATGAACTGAGGTTGATGCTTTCCTGCCATGATTTTAAACACACCTAGGTGTTTAAAATCTCCAAAGGGAGAACGTGAACGGCTATGGAAAGTGCTACCAATTTGCTATTTACCCATAAGATTCAAGTAGATCAAACCTTGGTACCTTGGTTTGTTTCTTCTCGGTAGCATAGACTATAGATGTGCAACAGACCTCAGCAAGCTTCCGCCCCTGTCCGTAGAAGAACCAGCAGCAGATCTCATCCCCTATAACATCCTTAATGAAGAGGACTCGGCCATTGAAGCGGAGAGAGAGTTTGTCAAACAGTTCGATGTTCTTCAATAGGTTGTCATCCGAATTGCTGAAATACAGCAAAGCCAGTTAAAAGGTTCTTGTAGTTTAGCTGCTAGCCTGTACCACAGGCTAAATAGGCCTACCCCACTAGAGCGGCAAGCATTAATCTAACTGGAGAATATAAGTGGTGACTCACTGCTGGGCATTGCCAAGGAAAGGGCAGATAATGGCCAACAGGAGACACAAATAAGATTCTCTGCACCCCACGACCAAATGTACCAGCCTTTAGAGGACAAATGTGACAATTTATCAAGCTGTTACATCAGTGATCAACAGCTATAAAATGCCCAGTGCCCAAGTTCATTACATGATATGCTGACCATGGTTTTATTTAGCACAGTAATTACATATTTGTTAGAATCCCTCTCCCTGCAGGCACACTGGAAGTGTGCCTAGAGAATAAGGAGACTGACAGAGCTCCTGTAATTGTGTGTCAGCCTGAAAAAGCAAAAGGCTAAGATTCTTCATACACAACTCAGGACATTTCAAATTGCTTCAAGCTTTGATCTCAGAAAACCCAGAGCCCTCTGGCAAGAGGATTATACCCCCCCCCCCCCGAGTCTTTGCACTACCTGCTCAGGCTATAGGAGCTGAGCTGGAGAAGCACAGCATCGCCTGGCTTTAGGATGTCTGGCATCGCCTGACATCGCCAGCTCCTTTAGGATGTCTGGCATCGCCTGGCAGCTGGCATCGCCTGGCATCGCCAGCTGCATGGCAAGACACAGGAGAAGCAGATCTGCATCACCCAGCCCTAGAAACTGAGCAGGAGCAGCCTTGTGCTGCCTGAACATAGGAGCCAGGTATAGTTGGGAGGCAGGAGGTCTCCAAGTCCCTGGGCAAGTTAAAGACCCTTCTATGGCCAGGGGGTGCCCAGCCGCTCCAGGTCAGCTTCTAGGGCCAGGCAGTGTTCCTGCACACAGCTCCTACTGCCAGGCAAAGCAGGGCTGCGTCAGATGCAACAAAGGAACATTCACTCCGTTTCCCCCAAAGTTTTGCCCAGGAAGCCAAAATGTATAGTTACGCATTAGAATAGCAACAATGGTCTTCAGGATTTTTCTGGTCTGAAGAGATGCTTTCCTATCTTTCCTTTATGCATTTTCTCTCTGGCTACATAACTAAGTGATTTAGAGAAGGGTGGAGGCACGGGAGTATAGCAAGGTGGTCAGGACAGAGGTGCACTGGCAGAAGACGCCAGAATGGGATTCAGAGGGAGGCACGGATCACGACCTTATTAGTGTCACATTGTGCAAGTGGAAGTTTACACTGCATTGCCTGAACTATGCCCAGATTTGGCAAGTACTGATAAATCTCATCCTTCTCAGACAGAAAGAGAATCCCTACCACCCTCCCCCACTAGACATACTGCATTTCCACGTGATGCTTTCCACACTGGAGTGCAAGGGCTCCGACTTCCTCTCAGTAAGAGTGGCGTCATTTAAGAGTACACACTTTCAAAACTGCAGCTGGTATAAACAAGAAAAATCATCCCCCAGCAAACTTCATCCCACTAGCCAAGAGGACTTTATATTATTAACGGAACTGTCGTACCTGGTGTAGGAATATTTGTTGTTGCTCCTGTTATAAAGCAGCTTGACTACAGGCTGTTGGGAGAGGGGAAAAATAGGGAAAATGAAAGGTTGACCTGAAACTATTTGAAAGGTTTTGGTACAAATTCAGTAGGAGGTTGTGGAAAAGCAATTACTTTGATAGATGATTCTATGAGCCTCTCTTCTTCCTTTGGCGATGTAATGATGGGGATGTTACAGACAGGTTCATACAAGTCCTTCTTGTCCTATTTAAAATAAAAATAAATGAATAAATCAAGGGCATAATAATGAAACTAATGTTTCCTGCTTTTCTCACCAGACCCTCGCACCATGTTCCCAAATCCTCCAATGCAGAGAAACAGCTCCCAGTTGCTATAGTAACTACATAACACTGCCTTTGAGCTGCAACCCAGAAATACAGCAGAGACATTTTTTATTCCCAAAAGGCAGGAATAATTGAAGCGTTTGGATGCAAGCAAACGTCATTCCTAGTTACAGCAATGCCTGCAAGCCCACTGTGGGCTTATGTTAAGTGGGTTATTGCTTAGGCTCCTTCAAGAAAATGAGTAGAGTTTGAAGAAGTTTTAATCAACTTAAAACATTGCCGTACATAAAGGATCAACCATGATGCACAGGACATTCACTGAGTAACACAGCTCCTAGTCCTCAAACTCCCTGTACTGCAAGCACCAAGATCACAGACTAATTTTCTATGCAAGGCAGCTGGAATCAAAGAGTTCAATAACTGAGGACAATCTTAGGATATGTGTTTTTTCCTAGAAGAGTTTTAAACTTCAAACTTGAAGGGAAATTGCCTGTATGCTTTTCAATATGGCATCCCCCCTACCCGCTATAGAAACTACGAAAAAAAAAATGCTGAAAAGTGTCCACTAATTCTGTTCACATGGTATTACACACAGCACTGTAAAGCAATAGCCATCAAATCTTTTACAATGCCCGAATTCAAATAACTGGGACTTTAACTCAGTGGATTTCAGGATATGATACTAACCTGCAAATTCCCATTCTTTAATTTCTTTTTGTGCTGTAGGAACTCAGACCCCCAACTACTGGCTTCTTGAGGAAATGTACACCAAAACAAAAGAAAGGCCTACCTACCAGATACTTCTACAGTGGTGAAGGCTATCTGAGACTCTACCATATTTGTTTGTTTAATATCCCTGCAAGGTAGGGAAGTGCTGTTACCACCATTTTACAGGTGACAGGCTAAATGACTTGCCCAGGGCCACAAAGGAAGTTTTTGGCATTGCAAAGACTTACACTCATGTCTCCCAAATTCAATACTAGCATAGCCTTACCGCTGAACCGTCCTTCCTTTGGGGCATGACAATAGCACATCCGAATCTTAAGTGCTAGGATATAAATATACACATCTCCTGCCCACCCCTCGCCCCGACAAAAATGCAGCCATCTCTGGTATGGAGGGCAGCAGCACACCAGAGAGATGGACTGGGATATTTTGTCTAAGATAATAATCCAAATTCTCTCTTACAAGAAGCATCACAGAATCTAGTGTCCCATGAACAACAGATGAGAACATGCACACAGAGCAAACAATACTGGTATGTTTCTCAGCTCATCAGCTTGGGAAGATGATGAAGATGGAAATCACACTCGTTGATCTTGGCATCCAAAACTTGATATTTAGGCCAATGAAGCACTGCCAGGACGTGCATCAGCCCCACAAAGCACACGAAACAGGAAGTTTTAGAAGCAAAAAACCCCACAGGCTGCTGCCATAGCTTACCTGAAGGGCTGTCTGACACAGGTCTACTAAGCCTTGAATGAGGTAATATTTGGCTTCTGCCATCAGCTCTTTGATCTCCTGCCTGTTTTTTGGAAGCGCAATCGTGTCATCTCGAAGATAATTTAAAATCGTTCCAAAATGTTTCCCACAACGGTCTATAAGGATCCAGCCTGAAAGATAAATGCCACAAGACTTCTATCTCATCCTACATCAGGAGAAGCAAATGGCACTCATTAAGAAGGCCAAGCATGGCATCCCAGTATACCAACTCTCCACCCACATCCTTTGAAAGGAATCTAACATCTCCTGAAATAGGAAGTCAGTCATGCCCTACTGTCTGTGCTGGGACTGCTGACATCAGACAAGCTGGATCAGGCCCACACAGACATGAACCTGAGAAAGGAATTGCTCATCTCATTACCTCTTTTCCCTCCACCCTCCTAAGAAGAAAGATCCAGCTGGGTTCCTAAGACAAGCAAGACCTAGATTAAAGAACCTAAAACAAAAAATAATCAGCCCTCAAGAGGCAAAACCCCACGGGAAAACCCAAGAGCCTGTTCTCCTTACTGATCAGTCCACACCCTTCTGCACCAAAACCATGTGCTGTCATTTGTCTTGTCTATGTCTGATTTTAATCAGTTAGAGGCATGAACCCGTTTAATTATTATGGGAAGTAAGTGGGGGTCACTTTTATAGATAGTCTTAAGAGCTCTATTTAACTGCCTGGGGAGGCAGGTCTATCTTAGAAAACTGGTTATTGTTAGACAGATTGCAGGTCTACTTAGAAGCTCAGGGTACTGCCAGCAAAGTTGGTTCTTAGGATTAAGGAATGACTACTTCTGCCTGCAGGTTGGGAAGGCACACAAGAATAGTACAGGGTCCCAGAACATTTCAATCCTGTGACATGCTGGAAATCCTTCAGCACAGTATTTTGATGTTTTGGTTCGAGAAAACGTTGTCTGTGATGGAAGGCCTTTTGGGAGTCTTTCAGCTTGTGTGATTTTTAGTTGCTGTACTAGCAAACATGGTAGCCTAAATAAAAAGAAGTGCTCACTTAATAGAGGCCTATGATGGTTGTTGTAATAGCAAAACATTTCACTGTTTTAAAATGTTTACAAGTCTTTATAAATATGGATAACTCAATAATTGAACTCAATGAAAGTACCCGACTCTCTTAATCCCCTGCCAAGGATGGCAAGACTCCTGCTAACATATGTTGCCAGCAGAGACCCAGGTACTGCCTGTTGCCAGGCAGCTTCTCCCTAGGAAAGCATCAAGAGGGCTAAGAGGCTTGCTGAAAGCAACTACTAGGTCTAAACCAGGTCTAAGCTCTGCAGACCACCTGCGGGTATTTGGCAGAGGTTTTTCTAGTCATCAAGCACTGCTGTTTGGAGAACAATAAAAGCCGCATTCCAAAGATGCCAAAGTGTACAGCAGCTCACAGCAACCAGTGAGGGGAGGAGGGACAGGCCATTTTGCTCCTTGAATACATGCAGGC